TGGAGGACGACAAACTTTAAAAGATCTAGTAGTTTGACTGAGTGAAGATCGTGGGAGACATGGTCGTGGATATTTAGGTCACCAGCAATGCTCTTTGGAGGGAAGGATGGTTTCAATGTAAGTAGAGAACTCAGTGAAGAAAGCAGTAGTTGAGACTCTGTGATCAGCTGAATAAAGTGGACGATAAAGAAGGACAAGCCGAAGATTGAGGGAAGGTGATGAGATGGTCCATTCAGAGTATTCAAAGGATTCATTCTCGCCAGCATCATTCCTTCAGACAGATAGCAAGTCATAGTATATCAAGCCCACTTCGCCAGTAGTCAGCCAAGTCTTAGTGATCGCAACACCTGAGTTCAGCATTACAATCGCATAATTTTATGTAATCAAAGAGGTGTTTATCTGCAACAATCGGAGTCAAGACAGATGAACTACGGACGCTAATTAAACTGCTAATATTTCGCGACGAAGATGACAATTGAGTTTCACGGTTATGATAACTGCATTTTGAAACAATCACCGAGATTAATTGGGTCCAGGATTCAAGTTAAATACCAAATCGCCAATTAGCAAAAGATGGAACGATGCTATTGTGTTGGAAAAATATGCGCAATGACATCTGTAAAGCCTGATCTCAGGCCGTTTGAAGAACGTAGGATAATTAGACGCCATATAAACCAAAAAAGCATTGCTACCATAAGAATGTGCGATGGCGTTGTTCCAAAACCAACAAGACAATGGGTAATCAACAGCAATTCCGTGGACATTGTTCGCAGGATGGGCAAAGCAACATGAATTTTTCAGAGTCGGCAATGTAGAGAAAGGTGAAACGGAGGAGGCGGAGGCAACGAACTGTCACGAGTCGTTTGAGATATTCTCCATCAAGATATAGACACCGAAGGAGGAGTAGAAAGAGCAAAAAACCGCAGCTGGAAACAATACGTCCCCACTTCATTATTATGCTTCACCACAAATATTCTCCAAATTGCAGATGTCGTCTGTGGAATTGTATTCTTGCGGTTCTTGCTAAGTTTTCAGCCAGTAGTTTGCTTATTTCTTCTTCGCTAAACGAGTTAAATGTTCCGCCATTTTTTACTCCTAAACCTCGTCTCCAGGGCTTCTCGGTTAACTGTCCAGTTTTCAAGAAATTTATAATGTAGAATTGACATCATTTGTCACATATCGCAGAATTCTTTCAAATTTGGTCAGCAGTAGCTGGTTACGATGAATTATACTTGGGATTTGAACTAATCACAAACGGAGCAATATTTTGAGTGAATTAATAAATAACAATTGTTCACCGAAGTGGAGGTGGCTAGTGGTGTATTTACCGAGGCCGCGTTAGCGGCAAGGTAAATAACCACCACTAGCCACCGACACTGAGGTGAATAGTTGTTTTAGTATATACTTAAACAGTGAGATAATTCAGCACAAGAATGATGATTTTTAACTCATTTACTGTTGCCTGGAACGATTACAATTTTGGCGTGCAATGACCGAACGGCAGCGGTCGTCGCTTTTTCTTGCCGACAAATAAAACTTTTGAAGGCATTTGTTTAGCTCTTGCGGGGAAATTTCCTCAAAAGGAGTTGTGAATTCTTTTTTGTATTTAAAATCATTCTGTAAAAAAGATTATTAGATTTAGTTTTAAGCTTATTCATGAACAAGTCAACTAAATAAAGTAACGCAAGACTTAAGCTTAATTTGCATTTGTAAACAAAAAACTTTTTCGCCGGTTTTATCGATAAATTCTAGTAAAAAAGACAAAGCTTTACCCGTTAAAACTTCCACTCCGAACTTCGTCACCTTGTTCGAGTATTTCGGGAACAGCTTGCTTGATTAGTTGTGAAATTTCTTTGTTTGTTACGGCAGCAAAACGGGAAGGCATTTTGCTCGAAACTTACGCGAGTTTGGCGTCGCTCCCTCGGAGGAACTGGAGATGAATCAGTGTATAGAGCAGGATATTCATTGATTGAGTAGCCAATTAGAGCGCGCGAAAAACACTATCCACTGTTTTAGCAATTATTGGATGAGGTTCAGGTGATATCCGGAATAATCAAGGTCGAGATAAGTCAATTATTAACGGAGCCGACGGCTTGGGCTGGTAACACTTACTTAGACCTTGGTCATTCCTGATATCACAAAAACCGAATCTAATAATTGTTTTATTATACACATAAAGACAAGTACATAGTCGCACTGTTTGACATTGTTACTGGAAATCATGCATTGCCCGCGCAACCTACAGATAAATCTGTCTTAAGTTATCTGCTCGCAGAGTAATTTGAGCTTGGCAAGGAAATGAAATTTGAGTTGTTTACGAAGCGTTTTTTATCGCTCAGCTAGCAATTCTGTCCTACCTTTGTCGGTGTTACTACATTGTTAGATCATGTCATGTTTTATCGGTCAAATCGTGCTAAAATTTCATAGAAAGACACAAATAAACACTAGGTAACATTTGTGCCGTCTTTGCTATATTATCGTCAGTCTTTATTGAGGAATTTACCCGTGCATTTGAGTCTATTTATTTGCAGTTTTATTTCCAACCAGCACGGCAAACATTTTGAGATAAAGAACTTTTAAAAGGTTTTATCCTTTATTTCTATGTTTGTTAATGTCACTATTCCGCTTAAGATACGCATGAAAAGGTAACACAAGTAAATAGCGTACGCAGGCATTTAAGACCATTACTGGAAGATGGCGTAATAAGGGGGGGACACAGCCCTGTGGCAGGTTCTAGCGACTTCAGGTTATGCGCACAGCAAAAACACAAGCCTCACTTATCGCCCCACTACCGTGGGGTAGGACAAGAGTATTGGCAGAGCCTTTCTTATCTCCCCAGCGCCGCACGGGCTGGATCGGACAAGATTAAGGCAAATGAATAAGATGGCAAGACACAAGCAA